CAATAAAAATAAAAATCCAGAGAATCAGTGAGGAGAAAATAACAGTTTGTCAATGGAAACGATGTATCAACTGTCAGTAACAACTGAGAGAACAAGAAGATATTCTAATCACAGATTTGATTATGTATTTTTACTTACCTATACCTATATCTATATATATACCTATATACTTATGTTTCTGTCCATCCATTTCTCTCACATTTATAATCCCCACTATCCTCAATAAAACGTAAAAGTAATCATAAAATGTTTTTCAAACTTCACGGAAAAGATCTGGTAAAAGACTGAAGTGACATTGTGGCAAACTCTTGGAAGAGAGCTAGGTTTCAGCTTTGATCATCAATACAAACTGTCTGCATCTTTCTTTCCACAGACCTTGAATCTTCCCGAAAGCAAGTCGAGGCTGACAGGAAAGCCATAGACGAGCTGATCCGAGAGAGAGACATCTTAAATAAGGTATATTTATCTTGTATTTGTTCTGATCACACATTTCTCTCTTTTCTCTTCTACAGTCGTGGATAATGAGAAGGAAGTAAACTTGAGTTTCTGTTTTCTCAAATCAACTAAATCTTGTGTTAGTGCCCCTCAAACATTTTCAAAACCAGAATGAAATGTTACGCTCCACAACTTGTGATTGTGCTTGTTTCTCCATCAAAAGAACATGATTAAAGCTACGCAGTCGACTGACAAACAGCAGAACCTTGTGAAGCTCCTCGAGCAGGACAAGAAGACGCTGGAACATGAGATCAGTGGATACCGGCAGGAGGCCCAGAAGCAGCGCAAGATCATCCAACAGCTGGAAAAAGAGCGAGACCGCTACATCAATGAGACCAGCAGCCTCATGCAGAAGGCGAGTTAGGCAGCAGAGCTTTACGGATTCCGTTATTTGTCTTGATTTTCATTTTACAATATGGTTAGAAAATCTGCAACGTTCCCCCCTTCCACAGGTGCAACAAAAAATGACTGATGTTGAAGTGAGAGAGCTGGAGATATTTGATTGGAAGAAGAAGGTGACCGAGGCAGAGTGCAAGCTCAAACAGCAAGAGAACGTGCTGGAGTCTGTTGTGGCTGAAAGGAACCTCTACAGCAAAAACCTAATCGAGGCTCAGGTAAGAGTGAAGTGTTCCTGTCAGCCACCATCTTCAGATCTGTAAAATCATCATCCAGTCAGTAGTGAGTCAGCTGCAGACTTTCAGTATCCATTAATGTTTGAAGTGAGTTTTCATTTCCTGTAGTCTCTCGTGTTTATGTTATGTATTTGCTACAGTTTAAAAACTGGCTGTAAGGAGTTTGGAAAGGAGAACCACAGTGCAGAGAAAATCTAACTCCACTTACATTTGACATTAAAAAAAAAGTTTATTTGCAACAGAAGATACTCACAGACTATGTGATACAGTGATAAATGTAACTGTGTTTAAATGTTGCTGCTTCAATGAATTGTGGGACAGCATTTTCTCCTTTCCTTTCATAAAGAACGGTCTGCTGTTTCCTGTGCAGAAGGAAATAAGTTAGGAAGCATTGAAGCTTCTTTCCGTATCATTTAGAACACTACTGCATCATTTCATTCAGTTAGGAACCTTCAATGCACCCAATGTCTCCCTCTGCTTCAGGAAGAGATTGCAGAGACCAAGAGGAAGATGAAGACCATGAACAACCAGGTCACCCGGCTGAGAGACGAGATCACAGGGAAGGAGCTGGCCCTGGCCAAAGATCAGCAGGAGCACAAGCGCTTAGAGAAGGATAACGAGTCCCTCAAGGTATTACAGTCGGTCTCAGTGGTTCTTAATGAAGTCAAGCACTTCCTGAGCAATACCAACATCTATTACATGTATGTGTGTGTCCTGTTACAGGGGGAGCTGCAGTTGATTAAGCTGCAGCTGGAGGAAACAAAGCAGCACGTTGATAGTCAAAAAGCAGAGCAGCAGAAACTGCAGAAGATTATCGCCGATGCTGATGTTGAGCAAATCCAACAGAAGAAACAGCTGGACCAGGTAAAGATGAAGAAGGAGGTAGATGAAGGACCAGCACAGGGACCAGTGTCTGATGATGGGGTGTTTCTCTCTAGGTGATCAGGGAGCGGGACAGCCTGGGAAAACAGCTGCTGCGCCGCAACGACGAGCGTGCCCTGCTGTATGAGAAGATCAGGATCCAGCAATCAATCCTCAGCAAGGGCGACTTCCACTACAACCAGCGCATGGACGACATCCGTCTGCTCAACCTGGAGATCAAGAGGCTCCGGCGCAAGAAGAGCATCCTGGACAAGACAATACCCAACACTGAGGACCTGAGGTAAAACAGGGCCTGGTCAGGAGGAGGCAGGACAGTGAGCAAAGAGAGCAGGGTGGATAAACAGTGAGCTAACCTACAAAGTGTAGATTAATAGTGCTCGAGAGTCAGAAAGATTAAGCAAGAGAAATAAGTGATAGGAACAACCACCATCGAAGAACATCTACTGGCCTGTTATTCTGCTGATATTTGTCCTGATATTTACATTGAGGTTGTTTCATGACTGTCTATAACTGCTGCGTGGAACACCATGAACCTTTTGTGTTGCAGGCGAGAGCTGTTCCACCTGCAGAGGGAGCTGCTCAGAGAAAGGACGAGAAACAGCGTCCTCCAGGAACAGCTGAAGCCCATAAATATTCACCGGTGGAGGCGACTGGAGGTGAAGGACTCGTTGAGTGTCTGTGTGGGTTCGTTTAAAGCTATAGCAGCTTTAGCCTGTGCCATTGGTTCCTCTTTGCCTCACGGTGATATGAACAGAGTAGCAGAGTAAACCCCCCGACTCTCTCCTGCAGGGCAGTGACCCCGGCAAATATGAGCTCATCCTGAAGATTCAGTCCTTACAGAAGAGGCTTATTTCCAAGACACAAGAGCTTGAGGAACATGAACTCCTACTACAGGTAAACAGTGGACGCTCCTTCCTCAATGTGCAAACACAAGCACACACACTCTGTACACACCTGTTAACTTAGTTCAGTACTTATAAAATATCTTTTTGAACAAGCAGAGGAAAATAAAACATGACCTCTATTAGTGAATTGCAAATCTTTTTTAATTTAAAAGACCAAAACCAAGACTTGATCATCAATACAAGCTGTATACTGTGTTTTCAATTTACAAATATATACTTTTACTTTTTTCTTTTTTCTCACTGTAGTTTTAACAACAGTTTTTCAAACAGAGGGACATAAAGCATAGTGTGGTTCTTGTTCAGGCCTATTTTAAGTGGTGGGTTAATACATATTTGTTCTTATGAGTATTTTGGGCAGCAAGAGGGTGGATGTGAGTTTTTATTGAAAATGACCATTGTATTTATGTGTTGAGGTAATAAAGTATCTTGTTATTCAGTCCAACAGTCCAACTCACTGGTGAGTTCAATAGTTTCTGGACATCAATGGATCTTCATGATTTTGGATACACACACAACGGTTGTGAGAAGGTTATTTTCAAATACCTCTCCATGGTATTTGTTGACAATAATGATAGTTCTGGGTTTATTCTATATTGTTTTAGAGAATATATGTGCTTAGTCTTCATCTTCAGATTGTGACTGGAGACCTAAACATTGATTGCAGTATTTTTTGTGTAATATTTGTGTATAGCACTTGAAAATGTCTGACTTTGGCTCTATTCAGTGATTGTATTCGGAAATACCACAAGCCCACCTTAGGATGGGAGAGCATTTCAATTACATTTTTCCCAGAATTGTTTTGTAAATTATTTAAGTTGTATTTAATCTTTGTTTTCTTGTTGTAAACAATTATTTATTTCTGCATGACTTTAAGGTGACAGTAGCAGGTAACAAATCTAGTAGAGACTGCAGACACAGCGGGGGCAAGTACACTTTGTCTCCTTTTCTTATTTCTTCTTGTTTCCCCACTAAGGAAAAGGAGAAGCTGTACGTGGAGCTGAAGCACATTATGACTCGACACCCTGGTCCAGAGGCAGTTGAGCAGCTCCAGCAGTGTCAGTGGCTCCTCAGAGAGAGAACTACAAAGCTCAAGGTCCTTACTAACCATCATCGCACAGTCCAAGCATCCCTCTCTTCATTTGTGTTTATCTCTGTGTATTCCACTCTTCCATGTCCCTCCCAAGTTAGCGACTGTATGTCTGCCTCTGTTCCTCCATCCTATGTTTCCATTAAAACTTGTTCTTATCAAACATACTCTGTGAACGTCCACTCCACACACAGTGATGGTCATTTTACTGAAGGTTTAACCTATAAAGCCTTTCATTAGAATGTAAGCACATGTTTTTCCATGCACATTGAGCACCATGATTTAAATCATGTTAAATACCGAGACACAAAATACAAAGAGTATGTTTTTATGTGCGACTGTTTAATTATACGTATGTGGGTGATATATATTTTTCTGATTTCTCAGGTGTTGATAGCAGAGCTGAGGATGCTTGACTCAAAGATGAATGAGTACAAAAATGAGAACCAGAGATTGGCCAATGAGCTTGCGAACATCAAGAAGAAGTACCTCTGTCAGAAGAAGCTCCAGAGGTGAGCTGCTGCTTTGTTTTTTTACACATTGTCTCCATAGTAAAACTCAGGGATGGGAACAAACTGCTTGATTGTTATGCACGGGGCTTTTCATAGTGTTCGCTCTGTGTCTCCTCAGTGAGCTGAGGACCAAGACCAAGGTGGAGGAGCTGGAACGTCTGCCTCAGCTGAGCAGCAAACCTCACTTCACTGGAGGAGGCTTCAGGATTGACAACCCTGTGAAAAGATGAGCGATAATGTGACAGATTATCTCGTAATTCATTTATTTTAAACCTTTTTAATCATTTCAAATAAAAACAAAATGACTCTTCATCCCAGAAGTAGTAGTAATACGTTGTCCATGCCTGTGTCACATCCTGAGTAGACTTCCATTACTTTGGTTACTGGATGTATTTTACTTTTTATTTGGTGCAGATACTAATGTTTGACAGGGTGTATCTCCAAACAGAGAGTATAAGTACCTCTGTTAAGCATAAGATAAGCAAGATCTATCCTTTTATCTTATATGTAAAATACATACCAGTTCAGTCTTGGGACAAGTGGCATGAATAATTCATATTATTTCAAGATAATACAGGAATTACAGTTCATAGCTTTAAAGTGCAATAATACAAGATGAGGCCTTTCACATTGTTTGTAAAAATGTATGTAAAGTTGTTTCGATCAGATTTTTTTTCACATCACATCCCCTCTGCTCTGATGGAGTCCTCAGGTAATATGAGCTCAGATTTAGCATAACGTTCACCAAGAACACAGCAGCACAACTACTATCACACACTTATCGGAGTAGTTTTAGTTCAAACACTCTTATAAAGGAACTCCACCACATTCACTGAATATAAAGGGAAAGATATTAAGAAAATACAACACACTGAGAAGAGCAACTGTCAGTCTTCTCAGTGTCAATGTACATGTACTCTGCCTCATGCTTAAGCTTTTCCACACAGTTAGTTTCATCAGTGTCAAGTGAAAGACAAATTGCAAAGAGCTCTTTAGAAATTCTTCTACTGTATCGAACCCCAAAATGTACTTTAGACATTGAGCTGCTCCTCGTGGCATAATAGTTTTATAATTAAAATATTGATTGGCCTTACCATTTGAGATGCATGTATGATTTATTAATATGCTTTGATTTTATTGACAGGTAAAGCACTTAGAGTGGACTGCACTTCCTTTTTAAATCAAGTACATTGTTTGAGATTCAATTAAAGATGCTAAATTATTATTATTACCAGAAAGCTCTGACTGCAGCGTATTTGCTAAGAGACTTAATGGGACTTTGTAGTTTTGTGATATTTCACAACAGAACTTAGTACAATTTCACATTAAATTTGATATCATATATTATAATAATAATAATATATTGTATTCATATTTGGTCACAAAAAGAAATGATATCATGTGGCAAAATTTTAAATTTGTCTGTTTTGACATAGTGACACCACTAGATGTCAGCAGAAATGCAGACTTGAAAAGCACATGTATAGGAATTCTGTATGTGGATGGAAATTTACATTTCTGTTTTTTCGATGTTAACACATTTCTATACATAGTCTGGTACAAGGAGGCATTTTACACAGCCTGTTCACATTTTCAGCAAAGTAAAACCCACAGTAAGTGAATCCAAGGAGATTATCAACTCCAGTGAGCTAAAATGTGTGTGTGTGTGTGTGTGTGTGGTCTTTTTGTCTCTGGTTATGACACACAGGCAAACTGTTAAAACTAGGCCAGTGTCCGTCCTGTCACACTGTGGCCCGTGGCCGGGGCGCAGTGTACAGAAAAGCCATAGATGGTGTTCTCCTCTAATCCTCACAAATGTGGGATTTATATGCAGAGGGAACATTTTTCTTGAAGGCTACATTCAGGTCAAATGGATCCTAACATCTGATCCACAGATTTGCTGTGAGTTGATCTACTCAGCTTGATCAGTGAAATCAGATTCTGAACCTGAACACACACCTCATCAACGAATGTTCATCATATTATTACTGGATAGTGGATATGCTGGTAAGATTGTGTGATGATCACTCACCACAACAGTACAAACAATAATATGCTGAATATTATCATGATAATTGTCACTGCCAAAACTGTGTTTATAAAGCACCTTTCAAAACACAGTTACAAGGGGCTTAAAAATGAAAAATGAAGAAATAATTGTAAATAATTTGGAGATCACACAACTGTAGGGCACAAATACAAAGATGCTACATATTAGAGAAGAGTAAAAAAACAAGGTCTAATAAAACATTATAAATTGATCAAAAGTAAGATCAGAAAAATGTCTTTAAGAGTGATTTAAAATAGGATATGGAGATGCCAGATGGATCTCCTCAGGGATTTTGATCCAAAGAATGGGAGTCCTGACAGAAAGGCCCGGTCACCTTAAAAGTCAGCAATCAAATGTTTTAATTGATTCTTAAAAATACTTGATGACAATGAAGAGAAGCCAAAGCCTGAGTAATTAGTAGATTCAGTGAAAAGTCTGGCTGCTGTGTTTTAAACAAATTATCATTTATGTAGACTCGTGTAAAGAGAATTGCAGTAATCTATACGAGAGGTAATGAAGTCATACTGGACGAATGTGCAACTACTTTATTTCTATCAAAGCTCATCAAGCATGCCATGCAATTACAAACAACAACAAAGTTCTACATATATAAAATACTTTGGTATAGTTTGGTCTTGAGCTAAAATCATCAAAATCCAGATCACTCGTGATCAAATGAAGCCGGGACATTCGCAGCAAACTCTGGTGTGTGGACAATACTGAGATTTATTCTTATTCCACTCTGTTGCTTTCTTTGCCAGTACAATTACATCATAACCATGGCAACCGGTGTCTATGCAGTGCTGGTCTGTGTGAGCTACGTTGCTGTAGCAATGGGAGGCCTCTCTAACAGGCCACATCTCCTTTCTTCCTTTTCTTTCTCTCTCTCAGCAGCTCAAACACTCACTGGGTGCTAGTGTGCGTGTGCTCGTTGAGATATTTGAGATGTTCAGTATATTCTCTGATCTGATTTTATTCTTCGTAGTGTGAGACCGAGCAGGTGGGAGCAGCTCCTTCTGTGTGCTCACATCTTGTCCCTGTTGATTGAAGACAAAAAACTATTTAATTGTTGACGATTTTCAATGATGTGCTGATCCCCAGGGTTCACTGGAGTTCTTACTCCAGAGGCTGAGGTGTAAATCCTGCCTGGACCTCCAGCTGCATGTCTCACTCCACTGACTGTCAGCTTAAACACTTAAATGCCATGAAAATAATAATCATCAATTTGGAATTGACACAAAACTTGAAGTGGAGTTGTTGGGCTGTAGGAAAAATGTGACAGCCCATTGTTTCAATTCCCTCACAGAAACACGTTCGGCTGTGAGAAACTAAACCTGGTCAAATGAGAGAAGGTTCGGTTCCAGTGCACTGTGGGTGTGATGATAACATGAGAACTGTTCCGTGTTTGCATGTGTTAATGCCGAGGATTTTAGACAGGAGGTCAAAACCCTGATCACAGATTGAGAGCAGGGATTATAACAGATTTTAAAACACTGTGATGAAGCCACAAATTCATGATCATTTTACATTTATCTGTTTTCATACAATTTGTTGTATGATGTTTGATTTCATTTCAAACTATGAGGGGTTTCTAATTTTTGTGTGGGTTTTATTTTCAGTTCTGATTGTGAATTATGTTTCTGTTATATCTGGGAATATACTTGTGTTATTGGTGGACTGCATGAAATGAAAGAAATATCAATAAAGTGGAGTTTTATCTGTAAAAACCAGGAGTTACCTGAACTCAAATCTATTTAATAAACGTCTTCATATTCTTATTATCAGTTATTTGGTATTGGAATATTAATGGTTCTAAATACTTTGATCTCAGCTCTGTATCTTATTTTGCTCACTGTTTTTATTCTGCTATTTATTTCAATAGTGTTAAGCTTGATGTACATATTTATCCTTCTACTCAGAGATTAAATTGGGATTTGTTAGGTGGGGGTGCTCTGTGGTTTCAGGGTAAAGCCTAGTTCCTGTTCATAAATTAAAGATCAGTGTCTCTCCCTAATTTACCATCCACTTCACCGTCTGCTGTCTGACAGACCCACAAGTGACCACCTGACCCCCCCAGACAATTCTGGCTGTAATAGTACCTCTAGTACATTTTAATACTAATATTTTAATTACTGCACATTCTGAGTTTTGTCTTCCTGATGTTTGACGCGATGAATTATTTAAAAAGACAAGAAATAACATACACTTTGTTTCACACAAAGCAGGAGAACACACACACACACACACACACACACACTCATTGAGCTTATTTGACTTGATGCTTGTTATTAGGATGCAAACACTAACAGGCTAGTGACGCACTCACCAGACCCACAGAAAGATCAGTCAACCCCCACAGTTCACTTTAACTTAGCTGTACATCACCATGACATCATCGAGTCATCATCAGTCTTGACATTAAGGGGTGTGGCACACTGGGGTGTGAATTGTGTTTAATTTAAAAATAGATGAAATAGACAAAGGGCCGAAAAGTTTTCTAACTGTTAAAGACTTCAGATAAGTACAAAGATACAGAACAAAAACTGTCAGCATGTAAATATGAGCATAAAGTGTGTCAGGTTAATAACAGCCAATCACAGACCAACTTCTCTTCATCTGGTTCGCTGTGTCCACTGCAGCCTCCTTGTTTTGATCTGATGGAGCAAAATGAGGCTTTGTATTCAAATGCAATGAATTACACCTTCTAAACAGTCGGAACACAAATAAATAAAGTTATATTAACACAACTGATAACTTTAATTTGAAATAGTATTTTTAATCTTTTAAAGTAGAATAAGGGTTTTTTTGGGTAATTTTTCCTCATTCCTGTTGAGGGTTAAGAACAGAGGATGTCACAGCCTGTTATTGTATAGCCCGTATGAGACAAATCGTGATTTGTGAATAAGGGTTATACAAACAATGTTTCCTCTGTATAAACTGAAAACATCTTTTAGGACGTGTCTTTCTGTTTTGGACAGGAAACTTTACTTTAACTGTCGGCACACAGCACAAAGTCTATCACTGTATCACATAGTCTGTTCTAAATAAACTTTTTCTTTTTAAAACGTCAACTGGAAGTGGAGTAAGATTTTCTCTGCACTGTGGTTCTCCTTTCCAAACTCCTCTCCTTCATATGTGTCCTTGACCTCATGAGGTTTTCCAATGGGGTAAAAAAATAGTTCATAATAAAGAGCATTATTTTAACTTTTTGACACAGCCAATTTTAAACTGTAGCAAATATATAATATAAACACAAGAAACCACAGAAAATGTGGCATCTTGCTAAACTGAAAGTGAGATTTTTTTCAATATAGGCTGTTCAAATTACATTTGATTAAATGGTTGAATTCGATTGATTGATCATTGTGATATATAGAGAATCTTTAATGTTTCCCTCAGGAGAGATCTCCTTTGTGTAAGAAGGTGTCTCCCTCAGTAGATCATGTTTATTGCAGAACAGTAGACTGAGTTGTATCAGCACAGTGATCACTTCTGTGCAGGTTTCTCTCAGGTGTGTGGGACAAAGATTCAACAGAGAAGCTGGTGACACGGAACCTTACAGAACCATCTCCTCCCCCTCTCCTCATGAATATTGGGGAATTAATGCGTGCAGGCAGGGAAGGAGGGAGGGAGGGGGGAGGCAGGGACAAAGGGAGAAAGGGAGGATAGAGAGGGAACTAAGGAGGGAGGGTGGAGGGAGGGAGGGGGGAGCAGATGTCGTCAGAGGCCTGGCTGTGCGCAGGCTCCGTGCGCGCAGGGCTCGGATGCGTATTGATTGGAAAACAACGAGCTGTGGGACGACAGACCAGGGAGGCTACGGGCTAACGGGTGAGGGAAGGGACACGGACCGAACCACGGCACGCTGCCATCTTTTCCCTGTTCTTGGTTTTTCTACATTTCACCCTGGAATGACTGGAACCGCCGCCGCTCGTCCGTCGCTGCGAAAGAGGGATTAGACACAAGATCCCGGTCGTCTGAGAAGCACCTGCCTCCTCCATCACCAAGCCTCAACAGCCAGCGGCTCGTCCACTGCAGGTAATCCGTCTTCTCTGTGCCTGTCACCGGCCGCACACGCCTCCGCGCCCGCTCCTGAGCCATGACCCCTCTCTGAGGTCCTTGCTGTGCATCATCTTCCCTCCATCCTCCCTCCTCCTTGTAACCATGGTTTCCTCCCTTTCTCTCCATCCTCTCCTTCCTCGCAGCTCTTCTGTCCCTCCCCCACTCTCCTCCTTTTCCTTCCTCTGATGAGCTGATGACATGCGCTTGCTGATTGAATGATCTCCATTTCTGCCACGGCCGCTTGAATATTGATGTGCGTAAAATGCGCCTCACGTATATTTGTGGGACAAACCCCTCAACGGATTCACAGTTATTTTTTCCCAGTGGTGACTCTGAGTCATCCAATGGCTGTGACTGATGTGAATGATCATTTCAATTCATACTGGTGATGCACTCCAGGTTTGATCATAATACATGTTACAATATTGTTCTTATCTAAAATACTAAATAAACCCCAGGGTAAGCTATGGACAGTGTGTATGTGTTACGCCTGAGGGAGAATATACAGAACAATGTGCTTTGGATATCTGCAGTGGAATTGTTGGTCAGTTTGTTGCTGGGTCGCATGTGGTCCCACTGGCTCCGTTACATTAAATGACCTCTGATGAGCTCTTGTGATTGGCTCTTTCGTCTTACCTGTATCATTGTGGAGGACGGGGGGTGCACCTGAGACCAGCACTACTTTCAATGAAGGTCACCTACCAAAAAAAAAAAAAAAAAAAGAACACCTCCACACCTTCCACTCTGCAGTCAGCTTTAATGCAGATGCTGTGATTTAACATTTCATTCAAAAATTGTCACATATATTTGTCTAAATGGACCCAGCAGTAAATATAAAAGACCACAGCAGGACTGGAAAGTGCTATTAGCATGTTGTTTCCATGTCAAGCAGCAGTGGGTCAGTATCTCCTGCAAAGAGACCCTGTGGCAAGGTTAAAGTCATCTGCTGATTTCCATGTTGAAAAGTCAATGATCTCCAGAGTCACCACTTCTCAGTCACTGTCACACAAAGAAGGCAGGAGGTAATTAACTGATCTGCTATTAAATTAGAACAACTGAGACTTGTGAATTAAGTTGAAAACAAACGTAAAGAGAAACACTGAGGGACACAGACAGAGAAAAGCTATGAAGAAAGAGAGAGGGGATGTAATTGTGAAAAGCAATATCCGTCTGCAGACGGAGCAGCACTCTGCTGAGAGGCGTGCTGAGGAGGACGAGGCTTCCACAGGCTTGTTTTTAAATGGACTCCTCGCCCACTTAGACCAGGCCACGGTCCAGCAAAGCACACAGCAGGAAGTGTAGGCCTGACTACTGTAATTACACTGCGTCAGACGGCCTCACTTGTCTTAAAAGTCTAACTGCAGCATTAGGTCCACCACTGACTGATGCGACCTTCTACAGGACTACACCCTTTCATTAGCACCAGGGAATGTTCCCAGTACATTATTGCATCTGTAAACTATATAGTCTACATTTGAGCTGACATGATCAGTCTACAGTTGCTGTGCTTTGCTTTCTCTTAATATATTCCATTTCTGTCAACACTTCAGATAAATCAGTGAATCACAGTTGAAAGAAGAAGCACAACCATTTGCCCCATTATTAACAAATTAGAGATGCAAAGCCCAAGTGTCCCGGCTGCTCCTTCTGAACAACTAATGTGGTGAGGGACAGTTTTTGTTGTTGCTCTCAGATATATTCGGTCCTTTCTCTCTTGTAATTGTCACATGTTCAAGAATCATAATGGAGGAGTAAGGCAGACAGGAAACAAGGTTATATTGTTCTGCCCAATAATCAGCCTCAACATTAAAACTACTAGTTTTAACCAATAATCTGTTCTGAACCATCGTTAATGTCATTTAAAGCTTATTCTATATATAATCTATTATTATGGTCTTCATAACTGGACTGAGTCAAACAATGGTTGTAATATAATGGCTGATCATAATCTATATCTATCTATTTGTCCCAGTAGAACCACTGGAGGTATAACAATGAAACGATTTAAAGAGGGGGAAGGTTTTCCCAAACCTTACTCTACTTGATGTATATATATATATATATATATTACTGTAGTGTTGACTGTTAGTATTACAAACATATTACATATTAAGATTTGGTGAATAATAATAATAATAATTCAGGAAACCGTATTCATGTAGTAAAGACCTAAATTGTAAAAATGATTTTGTAGAGTGCATGAACTCGTGTCTCACGCCTCTGTGGGAAAGAGAAAAGGCTTCAAACCCTTTAAAAAAATATAACTACTGAGGAGAAGAAAATGGAGAATGAAAACTTGGATTTAACACATTTAAAAGGGGATATGTAAATATACCTCATCCTGTCAGCACCGAGGTTTGACTATATTCTCCTCCATGGTTCACCAAGCTGCCCTATTTGACCGACTGAACCGAAAACACTATAGGGAAGTAATAAAATGAAAATAAAAGACCCAGAATGTGACTATGGATCTCCTGTGGCCTCCTGTCTCTTTGTACGGTTCTAAATTAAATCCAAGATTAAAGTATTAACTCTGAACACTGACGTGGTGAGAAGGGATTGTGCTGTGAAACGTATCCATGTTTAAATACATGTTTGCATTGACAATGAAAGTTGACTCTCGGAGCAGCAGTATAATAATCTATCACAATTTGTGACGCCATTTAGTGAAGTTAGAAATAAATGAATCTGGACACCTAGACATTTAGCATCAACTCCCTGTAGTAATACGTGACGTACTTTGACAAATCTTCCTGTAATTTCATGTCCCAGGAACTTGGTCACCTCATCACTGAAATCCCTATGGAGTCACTTAATTAACTGTGGTTTACCAGTAGAGCCAACTGGTTTGGTTCCCTTTGGGACCTGGTCCCCTTCTGGCACATGCACCTCCATCTCCTCTTTGTCTAGACAACATGGTGCCATTGCACATGAGGTGAGGCCGCCATGATTCAGGAGACGCCAAAGATAAATCCTTCTGGGTTATTAGTAAATCTCACAGATGGGGACAGATTAAAATAATGAGAGATTTTTGTGATTTGACTGATCGGGTCTTTAAACATGTCCTGCAGCAGTGGCCTTTGAGAGAATGCTAAAGAAACTTAGAGCATCAGTTTCATAAAGATCAAACACCTCACTGTGTCTGTTTCACGCAGGGCTTGGACATCATCCCGACAGGGGACATCATGGAAGCCCCTCTCGTGTGTTTGGACGAGGAGTTTGAGGATCTGCGGCCGTGTCGGATGGATGAACTGGACAATCCAGTGCTGGACCACTCCTCTTACTCCACCACCACCTCCACCACCACCACCATCCCGCTGGCCTCCATCACCCGGGAAGACTTCTCTGAGCTGGAGAACTTCTCTGAGATGATGAGCTTCAAGTCGATGGAGGACCTGGTCAACGAGTTTGACGAGAAGCTTAATGTCTGCTTCCACAATTACAACACCAAGACGGAGGGTCTGGCACCCATACGCAGCCAGTCACACAACCAGGAGGATGAGGAGCAGCTGCAGGATGAAGAGTGAGTGACCACAGTTAATACTGTATATCAAGAAAATTGCTTTCTAGAACTCTCAGCCCATTAGCAGCCATCCTCTAATGTTTGATTTCCAGCCTATAGTGAGCAGGCGGTCATAGAGAGAGTTCAGAATTACTTTGAACTGGCTCTTTACAGATTTGTACAGATTTGTGGTTGAGTGGTAATTCACCATGTATCTTGGTTACTAATGTGTGTTGGAAGGAGAAAATTTGAAATTTAAAGTCTACAGTCCCATGGACATTAAAACAGCTTGGTTTGGTTTTGGTCAGTTGCACTATTGATAATTCATCCATCCATCCTGGAGCCAATCCAGGTGGGGTACACTCTGGAGAGGTTGCCAGTGTATAGCACTGATATATATTTATCAATATTATTTTATTTTAGGACATAGAGCAATTATCGATATCATCGTCATGTTTACATTTGGCATTTGAATCAGTTCTCAACAACTTCCATGCCATCTTTAATCCACGGAATGAGATTGAGGGGATGGAGAGCACAAATAAGATGGAAAAATACAACAAGAGCAACAAGAAAGTAATATAATAAAAACCTAATAATAACTTGGGTTTATTCTATTTCTATATTCCTGTTTGAACTCATATTATCCTACTATAGATAATAATAACCACAAATATAGTGACATGATGAAATACCACAGCCAGACTCTCAGCCCACAGAGAGCCCTTTATGTAAATCACACTTGTACAGTCACTATGCTGCTGCTCTCACAGCCGAAGTCAAGGCCTCAACAGTGGCTCAGCGGCTGGGCAAGACACACATGACAACAACCAGAGTGTTCCCACACACACAGACCGCAGCATCCCAAACAACCGGTCAATCAGGGGCCTGACCCCACCCTCCGACAACAGCCCGGACTGCGTGCTGAATTATTCAGTGGGCAGCGTCAGATGCCTCAGTTGGCTTTGGCTCTGTGGGTCTGTCTCTGTCTCTCCACCAGCTGACTGCCACATCCTCCACCTCACAGGCGTCCTCACACTGTGAATATGAATCAGGCTAAAAATAGCCTGGACGTAGGTGTAAGAGGAGAGCGTTTGGAGAGGGGATCACATGCACATGATTCTTCAGACGATGTAAAAGTGCCTGTATTTATGCTGTGGTGATGATTAAGTACACAGGACTGTGGGTGGATAGAGTTTGGCAGTACTACACTAATCTGCATGTTATTACCTTGAATACGATCCTAATGCTTTAGACTGACTGGTTATGGCACACATGAGGAAACCAGTGTAGATATATTCAGGTCAAACATACCATCTTCAATCTATTGAGTCCATTAACAATATCTCATTGCTGCTGGTTTTTTCATAAAAATTCTCCTCAACAATCTGTTTTGAATCTCAAATGAAGTCCCTTAATATTCATTCACCTCAGTGCCACTCAGACAGACTACAAGCAGCTATTAATAGAAAGTGAGACAGTACTGAAGCTCATAAATCACTGAATTATGGGAAAATATCTCTCTTCAGTGAAGAATGGAGTCTGATTTGAAACCAAGGAAAAACACAGATCCACAGAATTCTCTCGACATTAAATCTGTCGTTTGGTTGTAAACAGTTTGTCACAAATTTAGTCCCAGCCTCTTAAATGAACTGATACGATTCAGAGACATTGGTGATGATATGAAACAGAATGATTCCTCCTCTGTGGCTGAGGGTCAACAAACACAGCAGGACCATGTCGTAACATGGGGATCCAGTTCATGTCGGCCAGCCCACAAGACCACGCCCCTGTATTACATAGGCAGCATGTGCTGGTCATGTGATGTTGTTGTTGTTTCCTTTTATGTCATTGTTCATTTGAAGGAAAATATTCAAGATTCAAGAATATTATTGTCAAATCAGTAGCACTTATAAAGATTGCAAATACAGTATTACACAAAACAACTTTATCTTAAGATATAAGCTACAAGAAAAATAAAATGAAATACATTTCTAAAATATTAGTAAATGCAAGGCAACAAGGGTGCAAAGAGCATACAATAGCATGAAAGTAAGCTTTGACATTTGGAAATACAGTTTTCTTTTACTGTCATTTTAAAAAATATATTTAATTGGTCTGTTTTAGAGTTTCACAAATTCGTGCTGTCAAACCAAAGTGTCCAGTTCATCCCACAGCAGCTGCATGAGGTGTAATCTGTGCTGCTCTGTTCTTGTGAAGCCTTCTGCTCCTCTAATGGTTTGGCTCATTATGTTGCTGCAGGATGAAGCTCTGACGCGTCTGTCTTACTTTATCACTTGTCTTTTTCTCACCACTCAGATAGAACTATATAGTTGTACTTCCTGCAGTATTATATATTATAGTGTTGTATGCCTAGTAATGTAGTAACAATGTAGTAACACTTTGTTCCAACACTGCTTTAAACCGACAGAGGGTTCATCAACTAATGCTGTTGTTCCTCTGAGAGCTGTTTGAATTAATCTGCAACGTTTCATGTACCTTTACTGTACATACTTGAAAACGCCTGTTTTCTATGAGGCTTAAATGATTTTACATTACATTTCATTTAGCTGATGCTTTTATCCAAAGAGACTTACAATAAGTGCATCAACCATGACGGAACAATCCCAGAACAACAAGAATCAGTTGTTATTTTACCCCATTCAATGTTCTTCACTGAACTCACCTACGTTTGAAGAATAACTGGAATTTCAGAATATTGTGTTCCACATGAGAGTGATATGTATCTGTTGTAATGTACATGCAGATACAAACTGTATGTAGTCAGCTGCTGGTTAGTGTAGCTTAGCATCAAGACTGTAAGGGCTAACTTCACAATAACTATTTTTCAGTGTTAAAGACAGACATGTTTCTCTGAATACATAGTCTGTTTCCATAATGGAGGCAATCCAATCTAATTAGGAAAAAATACATTCACCACAAATTTACTAAATGTTGCATCTCACATAAAAATGGGTAAACAGTGCAGTTCAGTATTTTTGGCTCAATCAACATTGTTTTATTGTTTAGTTTCTGCTAAGGGTTAAGTGTAATAAACTTTGGCCCTGTTTATGTGCTGGCGCTCACATCCGTGGCACACAGACATGGCTGGTGAGGTAAGCCGTGAACTCAATAGCGTCCACTGTGTGATGGGGTGTGGGCAGTGCCACTGGGAGCAGGGCAACAGGCCTGGAACAACCTCTGCAAAAACACAAAGGCTCGCACACAAAGGACACTTCTCTTCCAGTTCTGTTTCAGTCCTGCTCAGACAGACACTTGCTCGAGGGGCAGCCAGAGACCAGCAGCACGATGATGTGAGAAGCTTTATCTAAGTCTCCGCTCAGGAAATCTTTTAACGAGTAGTAAGCTCTGCTTTATTTTCTGTTGTGCATTGTTCCTCTGCAGCCTCCAGCTCTGCACATTGACCACCATCAGAGACTTGTCTCATTGAAATATTGACTGAGTTGCAGGCTGCTGAAGACGGGTCTGAGTAAACCGCCTTTACACGCTGGCAGATAAAACAACACACCAAATCCTCGTCTAATGCTGTTATATAACCGTGTAACTACACCATGTGTGGCTACAGCAGCTTATCATCGTAGACAGCCTTTAAAGCTAAGGGCACAAACTGTGTTTTTGTTTCTGGTTGATGTGCGTTTCTTGTGTATGTGTTACCTGAACGTTGCCTTCCTCACATATGTGCATCTATGTGTCTTTGTGTGTAACCTTACAGTGTGTGGGATGCTCTAACTGACAATTACATCTCCACCTGGGACGGCCCGGATTCAGAGGGACTCAACGGGAACCTTTCTGACCAGGAGGTAAATGTCATTCACATCTTTCTTTATGTGGATTATAGGGAATGTACAATTAGGTTTGCTTTTGATTTTTAAAAAGTAATTGTATTTTACTTCCTATAACCTGAAGCTACATGTGTGGTAAACCATTATTTTATTTTGCTGAGAAAACTTTTTTCTCTCTTCTCCTATTTATAGTTGATATAAAGTTGGTCTACATTTTATTCAGCTGTCCTCAGGAGCAGTTTATTACCATTGCAATTTCCCTGGGATGATGTGTAGTGAGAATGAATCAGAAGCCTCAGAAGCATTAACCATGAATGAGCAGCTGATTCTGATACCGTTTCTTCACAAGTGTTATGCTGCAGTGGGTGTGGTTTGATAAAAGCTAAGACTAGAGGTCTGACCCAGGAATCGGGCTCACAGCCCCAGAATGTTTGTTCCTATCTCTTATTCCAGTGGCTACAGATAGTTGCATAAATGTTCCCCAGTGTCCGTTAGTATTTTAAATCAAGATCCTCACGACGCATTACTGTTTAGTCCTTTGTGATGGTTTTAGATTTCTGCAAATGTGTTTTTCACGATGAGGAGGAAAGCTGAGCTGCTGACTGACTCGTTCTTTTTGAGGCTTAATCTCGTGCTGACACGTGAAGACCATGCCTGACCAACCCTGACGGCTCACACTTCCCCCCCCACCCTTCCCTTCCTTAATTGGCTGTCACATACAACTGGACAGCAGCTCTTAGCAGTCAAGGCCATGTTTGGGCTGGTCAAGGCCTGAGCAGACATTTGCGTCCCAGAGGGAGAGACTTTCTGTGAGAATGCACCATAGTACTCATATTCTCTTCTTGTTTTTTGACTCCAGAGGTTTAGATTCTCCCTTTATTTAAAAGAAATTATTCTCTTGTGGTTATTTAGTTTGTAGGTCAAGCAGTTTTATCTTTGTCTTCAAATAGGTGCACATGTTCATCTGCCTTGAGCTGCCAGTTCTAATGAGGTTAATCTATTTATTTTAAACAAATCCACGTTATATGTCTGTCTGCTGTGAGCTGTGAATTTTATGAATTGTCTCACTGTATCAAATTCAAAATTAGAAAACCTTTTATTATTCCTACTTGCTTTGGTACAACTGCTCAGTGAGATAGAACACAAGTAAAAGAGTTCAATCTACTACGAAAATGACTATAAAATACTAATAAAATAAACACATTGTATGAATGAAACATGTAAATATAAAAGTAAAAGTAATATGTGAGACAGAATCACAGTAAAGTGCAAAACTGAGAATGAAGTAAATTCACTGGTGACTTAAAGGTCCAGTGTGTAAGATTTAAGTGAAAGGGAACTATGAGCAGAAATTTAATGTAGAATAATCCTCATGATGTTTTCACTTGTTCATTTCATCTAAATTGTATGAATTGTAGTTTTCTTTACCCCAGAAAAGAACCTTTATATTTAAATACTTTATATTTACATGGAGGGGACCCTCTCTACGGAGGCCGCCATGTTTTTTACATTAGTCCAGACTGAACAAACTAAACACCTTTTGAGTTTTTATGACAACTGAAGCTGCCGCAGGTTCTTTTTCATGTTTGGAAGGAGAGGGTGAGGTGAGGGGTGTTCAGCTGCAACATGCAACTTCAACACTCGATGTCACTAAATTCTACACACTGTACCTTTAACAGTAAATTAATTGTAAGCAGTGCAGTGCTCGTTCGAGACCTGCCTGTTTGGAATGGGCAGTTGGCCGGTGGTGATACTGGCGTCAGCTTTTGATCTTGTAATTGAGCAGCTGCTGCCCAAAGAGCTGTTCACCTGTTCATTCAAAGTTCAGTGAAGCCCGAGGCAGCACACAGTACTACAAACTGGAGAATCAAATGTCACATACGCTGATGAGTGCCAGCCGCTGCAGAATATTGGACACCGGTTTATTAAAATGTTCATTATATTGAAAATATCTCATGTTCAAATCACACCAAATTTCACAATGTACTTCTTTGGGCCAACAATGCACATGCATGTATAAAGTGTGAAGCCGATAAGATGAATGGTTGTTTTCCACATTCAGATTTCTCAAATTATTAGATGGATGGGTAAAGTGAATTGTGGGTCAACAGTAAGTTAACAGTATAGCAGAGCACTGATGGAGATGTACAGAAAGAGGAGGAACTGTATAACTGGATGTCCACAGGAAGGAGGAACCACATGAGCACATTCGGAACTTGTGGCTAACAGAGTAGAGGTTGGGAGACGTTGTCCATGATGGAGAAAAGTTCTGACAACGTCCTCCTCTGTGGCTACACACACAGAACTGAGCTGGTCCTCTGCATCACTTTGTCGTGTCTGGTGTTGTCGGCCACTTTCAGGCCACTACCAGCAGCCCACAGTGTAGAAAATGGCACTGGTCACCACAGACATATAACATGTGCAGCGTGACGCTACAGACGGTGAAGGACTGACTCTGACTTACTGACACAAGTTCAGGCCAATAATAAGCAGTAAAGACAACTGTGGACATGCAAAGAAAAATACTAAGACTCTACAGTCGTATAGTCGCTTAAAGGTGCTTTTAGCTAAATGCTAACACCACCCTATGCCCACAATGAAAATAGGTGGCATCAAGCTTAATAGTGATGTTTAGCAGGTGTAATGTTCCATGTTGTTCATCTTTTTTATTTGCACCAAACTGATGGGAGTGACATTAGTTTTGTAGGAATTATTTTAGATACCAAGGTGACCTGTTGACACGATGATGGTGCTGGATTCATGTCAGTGAGTCACCTAAGTGATTTAATTCTTCCTGAGTGGAGAGAGAAGAATGTCTGAAGGAAATGTTCAAGATATAACACACCTGCTTACAAATTAGTCAGGGATTCACTAAAGCCAGAAAGATTCATACCATTAATGTCAATAAACCAACTCTACAATCCATCCAATTGCAGTTGTTGCTATTTTCTTGTATCAATAGATCCACTTCACTACAATTATACATTCGCCGAAAACTGATAAATACAAAAACATTGCTATTTAAACAAGTTTACAGATGGAATCATTAATTGCTTTTTAAAAAGTGCTAATAAATCATGTAAAACCTTTCAAATATTTAAACATGACACTTGCAAGTAAGTGGGATCCCATGCAGACTGATCTCCATATCCTACACCGATCAAATAATCATTAGGGATTTAGTTTAATATTCCAATACAAAGTGGCAGTGTGGCAAAGGACAATGCCACAGGGCTCTCCCAGACCCAGAGACATGACTGTTGCTTTGCAGCATCACATTATTGAATTAACCATTAAACATCAATCAAACACAACATAAACAACTAGCTTTGCAGCTTTTCAGCCCCCCACATGTCTCCTCAAGGCCGCTCTGCTGCTGCCTTTTGTACCGGAGGACCAAATCAGCTAACAGCTCTCACCTGCACTGATTGATCCTCTGGTCCAGGTGGAGGTGCTCCCCCATCTACCTCCACAAGCAGCTATGACTCTCGTTAGCCTTGTTTTCTTAGTGAGGCCCCCTGCTGGTCTTTATTTCTCTGCTGACTGGTTTCCATGTTGTGTCCTGCAATCTGCAGATTCACGAAAAAGAGGAGGAAGAGATGAATGAAAAGAATGACAACGCCAAATGTCTGAATGAAGAGCCTCTCATCACAGCTGATCAGGTGTGTGTCTGCCTGCCTGTCTGTTGTGGGGACTTCAGATTCCATTTGTGCTGACTTTGTCATACTGTTAAAATAGTTAGAGACATTCCAGTCACCCTCAAAGAATTCTTACACACTGCAACCCAACAGAGCCTGTCTGCTTTAGGGCCGATCACCATCACTTCAGTTTTATTTGCACTAGACTTTCAACGTTACCAGGCTTTCAAGACCTTGTCTGCAGGATTGTGTGCATAGACCTGTGTATTAGCAACACAACAGTAAAATAATACTGGTGATATAGACTGTGCATAGGATTGGGAATAGTAAAGGACCAACATTTGACCCCCAGTGGGACCCCATACTCAACCTGTGATTGTTGGCCTTCACATTTTCATTGTTCAGTCTCCATGTTGTTAAATTGCAACTTGCGCTCATCTGAGTGCCTATGGGCATGTGGTCAGGAATATTGTTTTCCAACTCGAGCTGACCTCCACTGCTGCAGCCTGCGTCCACTTAAATAATGGATTTAAGTACATGTATACTTCAGGAGGAGACGTTTGGTCTTTTACCGGCTCCATTTGACTGATAAATGACGGACATGAATGTGTTTGTTCTTACCAGTGTCTGCTGATCACTTTCCTGTCCGTCTACTCGTCTCACTATATCTCTCTCCATCTAACTCTCTCGCTCTCTCTCTTCAAGGTAATTGAGGAGATAGTTGAGATGATGGAGAACTCTCCAGATCCTGGTGAAACAGAGGAGGAGGAGGACGAGGAGGAGAGCAGCCACTGCTCCTCCAGGACCAGCCCCTCTCTGCTGGAGGAGATCCGGCAGCTGTCACAGGCCTCCAACAACAACTGCTCCTACGAAGGTAAAACTAGAAATAATCCATGTTATTTCTTTTGTTTAATCTCCGCAATTTGCTATCTGACACTGAGGGAGAACCTCCTCAAACAAGACCCTGCCACAGGCTGAACATAAAAAATACATTTTCATGATTATAGATTTTTACATTTTACATTTATGGTGACACACCAGCACAGACTGCATTACATATGCAGCGTATGCAACCAGTTACTGTCTGTAAATCTTGGTTTAGGGGGGAAAAGGTGAACTGAGTCCCTTATATACACACACACACATACACCAACACAAATTAACATAAATGAACACACTAGTTCTCATTCCAGCAGGACCATAGGTGAGAGTTCAGGACAACGCAGTGTTCTCTGCCATAAGGCCTCCCTTTGCTGAACAGATTGGAGATCCACGTGGTCCCACATTCGTCCCAGACACTCTGGGAATGGTAGCGAACACGGCAATGATATTGCCACAATGTCACAGAAACTGACACCTGCAGTTAATATTAGCTCTACCGATTTTGCTGATTTATTTGTATGGCACATTATCATACACAAAGATCATTCGATGCAAAATACTTTGGCACAAAACAACATCCAAATGTCCTTCCCTCTCCATCATCTGTTCCGCAGGCCTGAGCCTGATGCCCAGCTCAGCTCTGGTCGAGCTGCTGCACCGGGTGGAGGCCGCCATCCGCGACTACTCCGAGGAGCTGGTCAGTCAGCTGGCTCGGCGCGAGGAGCTGGAGTTCGAGAAAGAAGTGAAGAACACTTTCATCACGGCCCTGATGGAGGTGCAGAACAGGCAGAAGGAGCAGCGCGACAGCAGCAAACGTCGACGCCGGGACAAGGCCCTGAGCCTGCAGGGTGGAGGCACCCAGTCTGTGAACATAGGGAACGCAGGGAACACAGGCTCCATGGGACGCACAGAGAAGACAGGGAGCATGCCTGTCAAGGTGAGAGGGAGGGAGGGACGGCCTTGTTTACTTCAAACACTTTAATTATTAATGTTTAATGAGTACATGCATGTGCATCATAATTGTTGGGCCTTTCACACAAACTATTCACAACTTTGTGCTCTCATCAGTGTCGCTTCATCAGAATTTATTTTGCAAATAAGTATATTCTTGAAGATGAATATGGACGTGCATGTTTAACCCAGTGTAAATCAGAGAAAGGTGAAACCAGTGTGTGTCAGCTCTACCTCGCCCCTCCTCCGACTGTGAGCATAATGGATCTCATGTCCATTAGCTGCTAAAGTATCTTCCAGGAAAGATCCTAAAGTGCAGGTGACCCACTGTCTTCATACAGTAAGAGCCCAGTCCAGTCTGCTCCTGTCCAGTAACAGAGAAACAGCCTAATGGAGTTTCCCAGTATTGTTAAATCTCTATCTGAGGCTGCAGTGGTGAAGTCAGGTGAATGTTAACATGACATAATGATGCAGATGCAATATAAACAACCAGGATCACTGTATCTCATCGTGACTAAAAAATAATCACTAACATGGTTTGAGTGAGATGCTGAAAGTGAAAATTAAAAATTCTTGTTTTCATCAATGAATTGCTGATCGTTACCATAATGTCTAACCGTGTGTGTGTGTGTTATTTGCGACCTGCAGCGTTTCAGCATGGAAGGACTGTCCAGCATCCTGCAGACGGGCATCAGGCAGACGTTTGGAAGCACAGGCAACGATAAACAGGTCAGGTCAGAGGTCAAAACAAATGCGATCTGCAACTACAAATACATGTTGACTCATTAGAAAGAGAAGGGACCCATAATTATTATGACACACCCTGTACACATTGTTGCCTGGCAACCTTTACCCTCTTTTTTTCTCCTCCCTCTTCCTTCCTCCGGTCTAAAATATATTTTTAGTTCTGTGCTGCTTCCTGCAACGTCTGGATAGACCAACACATGTTGACACTGGACATCAGACAGCAGCATTACAAGGAGTGAATCTGTAATCATTTCCTTTAGCATAAAGACATTAGAACACGTGGTTGCAGTTTGACATGTATATTTAGACACAATATACAACATGTATTTACAGTGTGGAGGGGCCTTTACTGTGCTGCACCAGCCGTGCTGAGGCGGCTCACGCTCTGGGCCCCACAGCTTTAGCTGCAGCTTCACTGGCTTTGTTGACATCACTGCCTCAGCACCAGGCTCAGTTGAGGCCACAGGGATGATTGTCCTTCCCTGTGTAATTTGACCTCTGCTGCTACCGTAAGCCACAGCTCGGATGCACCTCAGGAATACGCTTGTTTTTGTCCAGATACTGTAAATGTCAGGCAGATGCTCACAGACAGGTGACGGGTTGGACTTGATTTGGTTTGTCAAAGTCATAGTTGAATATATTGGTCTGCTTTGCTCCAGTTATCACTTCCTTCTCAATAAGTTTGGGAGCGATTGCAGGTGCTGTGAATTTACCCTTGTGTTTACATCTGATCACAGATTGTGACGCATTACACAGTCCACTGACTTCTAGAGGACCTGTTCTGCATTTTGAGAGATATGCTTCTTAATCAAAAAGATCGGTGGCAGCTAATTAGCTTGGTTTATAGACTGGAAACAGGTATAGCCTGGTTGTTGGAAAAAGGAAAATGAAATGCATATAAAATGCACTAGAGCTTCACATCACAGTACACATTCACATCATTCATAGTGTTCTTATGTTTTAGTACTTTGTCTAGAACTCATACATTCTATTTACACTCACACCCACCCATCTGGGGTCATTGGGTGTACAGGACATGCAGGCTGGAGGACCCGGGTATCAAACCACTGACTTTTCAACCTTCCAATCGGATGACTATTTCTACCTCCTCAGCTATAGCCTATATAAAGCTTATATAAAGGACAGATTTGGGGGCAGAAACAGTCTTTTAATCTGAAAGCAAAGTGGTGCATTTCCCAAAATGCTGAAACAGTAGTTCAGATCTTTAGATTATATGATGATAGAAAGCTGTCGCTACAACCAGATGTTAACTTGACTTTGAAATGTCTCTCTTTTGTTTTTAGTATCTGAACACAGTTATTCCATATGAGAAGAAAGCCACCCCTCCATCTGTTGACGACCTGCAGATGCTCACAAAAAGTAAGTGTCCGCTCCGCAACATCTCTATAAAAAGAAAACACAAAGGTAAATATATCCTGACACTTGTACGTCTTCCACTAGTTCTTTATGCCATGAAGGAGGACAGTGAGAAGGTGCCCACACTGCTAACTGACTACATACTGAAAGGTAAGCACAACAACACAACAGACAACATTAAATTAACGCTGTCTACTCTCACCGACACATAATTCTCCATTATTCTCTTACAGTCCTGTGTCCTACCTAAACCACCGGTATGCCAGGAGCCACAGTGTGACGGAGGGTTCTCCCCCCCGAGGGCCTTTCCAGCCCTCCTCACCTCTGGCCCTAGCTGCATGATGACCTCCCATCTTTTACCATTACCAACCATGGATCCTCACCATCGACATTATCGTGTTCACCTCAACTATGACTACTGCCTTTTGCTGAGCTCACCTTCTCCCTCCCTGCACATTTAAGTTCAGGCCAGACTGTAAAATGGCCGCCGTCTTAATACTTTAACAAGTGTGGCGGTAAGTCCCGTTTGAAAGGACTTCAACTAACGGAGCATGACATGCTGTTACTGACACATCACCACTCTGGTACAGGGATATCATCACTGCTTTCTGTTCCTTAATCTCTTCAGTTTGTTCTTCTTTCTTTCCTCTAACAGAATTTCAGTGTTGCCAAGTTGTACTCATCAACTGACCTCTTAACCACAGTCGATTGTTGTATTCATTGATTCTGTTTCAGAAAAAAAAAAAGTGATTCATTTGAATACAAAAGCCATGCACCTTTTTCTGCCGACTTAGTACTGTAGCTCCATGTGAATAAAAAGAAACACACAACTGTTACGGGTGCGGTGCATCACAAAGCTTTTCTTATTTTGTTGTTTCTTTGACTTTTTGTTTCACTGTCTTATATCCGGTGCTCTTCTGACTTTTTGTAATTTCTTTTCATTTGTATCTCAATATTTGATATAAAGTCTGATTTTCTATTTGATTTACTGTCATGAGAGCGACAGTGCTCTGTGCACTCCACCCTGTTCAGCCCCATGGAGGTGTATTACTGAGTTATCATCCCCTGACGAGACGAGCTCATTTCAATGAAGGCGTGCATATTTGCATATTAGCATATTTAAGACTTCCTTTGCGCCATGTAGGTGAATGTTACATCCTTAATCGCAAATTCTAATAAACATTCTACCCGGAAGGTGTGTGACACGAGCGTCTTTCTGTCTTTACCCCTCTCAGGGAGTGTGTCTATTAAAGTTGTTTTTATTTACTTACTACACAACATACATATAACAAGAAATTTTGAATGGGTGCCTTTTGCTTGGTGCCCACTCCACACAGAGGGACATTTCGTTTAAGAGGAAGGAGATAGACCGTAAGAGAGAGAGAGAGAGATGGTGAGAGAGAAAGACATTTCCAAAAGCATGCATGATTTTATAATCATGCATGCTCCAGGTCAGTGACAGAGAGACTGCACCAATTTCAGAGAGAGAGAGAAACCATGTTGTGAGGTTGAAAGGTCTTCTCACCATCCATGGGATTTAATTAAAAAAATTCAGCCTCCTTCAGGCTTCCTGGGAACATCCCTAACTATTTGGGTATTTTATTTTGAAAATCGAGTATCCTTCAGTATCCCTGGTAAGGTCTTATCACCATGCAGGGATATGGACCTAACAAGGAGCCTAACTGCAGAACTTTACCTTGAGGTGGAGGAACAGCTCAGGAATAAACATCCAAACATGTCTCTTTATAATCAGTTATGCTTCTAATGATACACATTCTAACTCTTTATTGTGTATTTTCCAGGAAGTTAAAGGTGTTGAATAGTCAGATTTACTCTACATTGTTCCTCCATCATATCTTCTTCACACTTTTCAAGTATTATGATGTATACAACTTATAATAATCCATGATCACAAGTATCTGGAATCAGTTTAACGATGACTGCTTTAGAGCAGCTGATCATCAGGGTTGTTCCTGCCTTACACAAACAGAGAAGCTTTGCTGCCCTCTGGTGGCTGAGCTGCTATCTTCACATCATGTCTGAGCATGTGTAACAACATCCAAAAGTAAACTTCACTGAAATACACACATTTCCATTAGAACCTGGAATGCATGAGGATGTGACTTTGAGACATAAACTTCCAAAAGTGATTATAAGGACTGATTGAAGTCAGGATCACCACTGAACAGGACATACTGGATAAAGTTACACAAATCGTGTATAAGATGATGTTGAATGGGACTTTGACTTTGATTTCTGATCAGTAGACCCACAAAGTTTACATTCAGCTCGTTTCTAACACAAATCATCAGTCACTGCACCTCCAAGCTGTTACTCTAACAATCAATGTGAGTTCTTTTTCAAAATGAACATACACTCTCACAAACGCACACGCACATCTGATCATTTGTAGTTTAATTGAAAATAGCATACAAAGCATTTTCCATGAACATAAATATGGAGGATACAAGTGCACGCTGCACATTCATGTCCACAGTTGAGGCCGACTGTATAAATAAGCACGCTTGTCCACAGTAGTTCTACAATCCATCATGACTCACTGACAGTGAACACGTCTTTACTTCATAAAACTATTTACTGCTTATAAATTCATGTGCTCTCATACGTGACTGTATAAAAATAAAGGTTTGTCTTGAATACGTTTTCATATTCATAATGTACACTTTTTAAATGACCCATTCACAAGTTAACAGAGTCTATACTGTCGCTGTAAATGTGTTACTCATCAAACCGCCTCTCCTCAACACTTTCAACTTTCCTCAACACTTTCAACATCCCACATTAAGTCACTTTCCTGCCAAGCGCGTGTCAAACAGACAATAATACTCAGAGTGAGTCTGTAAAAGAAGCTCCGGTCTTTTCCTTCAGCATCATTGAATTTCACATGATCCATTTGGAAAAATGGTTGTTGCTCTTGCTGTGCACACTAAGAAAAAGAAAAAGAAACCAAAGCTCCAGTGTAGTGACAATACAGCAGAAGATGGTGATGGAGATCACTATCATTATACATAAAGTAAATATGTTTTCAAATCCAGGTGATATTAAAATAGGCATTTGTGTGACTTAGAAGCGAACAGAATAAAAAGACACAATGCTTGGATACATTTGTGACTCTGCAATAAAAGAAATATAAAAACTAAGGAGACATTGTTAACAGTGTTTTGAACTAGGCAAATTTACTCCCCCAGCTTTAAGGAGGATAGTGTATCCCCATACTCTCATGACAGGAAATGGTAGAAGATCACAAATTAAGAATCTTCCTATTCATTCTTTATACAGAGAAACTCATCAGCTTTTCATTGTCATCACATGGGAAATACGTTTTCTTTCAAACTCCTGAACCCTGTAGCAGTAAATCGTATATCATGTTAATTAAAACTGCTTCTTCCCTCACTGAGCTACCGTCTCTATACACACTACAACATATAGAGAGAGCATGTCGACGTAAGGAAGTGATCCACACTGAGCGTCTTTGGTTCACTGTCCTGTATCGCAGGCGAACTTATTACCTCTATACAAGATGTGGTCACTATGCTGTCTATTACGCATTTAACAGGAAATAAATATCATATTTACAATTTCAATGCTGCCGGCAACTTTAAATTATTAAAACCCCAGTGTGGACTTGTGTATTAGCAAAGTCATCACACTGCAGTTCTGAATGGTGCTCAATATAATAAGGAGCTTTGACTAATCTGTGTTTGAAGAATTGAGTCTGAGAGCGTTTTAGAAGCTGAACCACCGACAGAAATGACGCCAGAAAAGGATTAGGATATTTTGCAATGTCAAACTTTTTCATTATGTGTGTTATGTTTTCTTATCTCTTTTTCCACAAGTCTACTTCAGAAATACACTCATTAATACATAGATCTTCATATATTACAGCCTGCTTCACTGACTTCTCTTTGAACATTCACTGCTCTGAACAGTACTGATATAATGTGCTGACACCTATTTTGTTCTGCTCGCGTCCTCCTTCAGGTAGTTTTTGAAGTAACAGCGACAAAGTGCAGCAGACCTGCGTTTTAATTCATCTGCATCTTCCTCAAAGGCTCGGGTGAGCATTTACTCTTCACTTTGAGTCATTAAGTTCAGCAGGAGGACAAAAAAATACATTTTACAACATTTAAAAGATACATTTGAAAAAAATAAAAATAATTAGAAATGCATTGGTAAAGTAGAAAAGAGGACACTGGACAAATGTATGAAAATCATGTCTATACACAGTTTTCAATGCTCAGTATACAGTGCATACAGAATATAAAAGATGTAGGTATACCTAAAGCAAGTCAACAGTCAGTGTCTGAGAGTCTTGCCATGAAAGCTTCTTCAAACGAAAGCAGAGGTGAATAAGACATTTCCATCTAATGTAATTCTTTGCTAAATAGTAATAAGTTTTCCCTTTAAAATCGAATCAGCAGCCGACCCTTTCAGAGGGACAGCAATATTCCACCGGCTTATGTCAACAGCACTGTTTAGCCAGCGCTGGCTGGTGTTAGACCAGCGATCCGGCCTGGTTCTGTGCAGGCACCATAATGGGCACCCCTCCCATACGGGCGATGTTAGAGGTGGTCACACCGGAGTTGGGCAGCGGTGGAGGGGAGGGAGCGGCCTGGACCTGCAGCTGAGGATGGCTGAAGGTCTGTGGCAGCGCCTGGGCCTGGGGCAGCTGGGTGTAGCGCTCCGGTCTGGGTGGGGAGCCCCCGTTGGTGTTGGCCTCAGCGGGGATGGGCGGTCCGCGTGGCATGGTGGTGTTGTTGTTGTTGTAGCTGAAGTGGGTGGGGGTGGAGGCTCCGTGATGGCGTGACGACCTGTAGCCGGCCATGCTGCCGGTGGCAGTGATGATGGAGGCGGTGTCCGAGGGCGGACGCTGGGGGTACTGCTGCAGGTGGTGGTTGTTGTTGTGGTGGTTGGAGGGCTCTTTGTGGTGCGGGCTGGAGGCGATGGACGACAAGGTGCCATTCTTGGAGATGATATCTGAGCCCATGCCGCTCTTGGCCCAGGACACACGCTTAGGAGCCTGAGCGTCCTCCCTGGAGGTGGAGAGGACGAAGAGGTTTGACACAAAGCTATACTCTCTACCTCCACTACCTCCGGTGGTGATGGAGATGATTCATCAAGACTTGTTTTCTACTTTTTTCTACATTTATATGTCCAAATAGAAAAAAACACTAGCTGAATAAAATAATCCAAGATCACGAGGTAACAATGAACTGAATCTGGTGTTTTAAGAACTGCCTTGTTTTCTGTTATTTCTCTGGGGATTTATCCTCCATGCACATCACATGCATGAACATAACATCCCAAAATCACAGTATGTTTTTCTCTCCATGACTGAATTATGCATTGTTTAAATGGTTTTCTTCATTCATCACATGAATAAAAAACATTTTTTTTAACAAAGGAACATAAACTGTAACTTATGCAGCTTGGTTTATAATGTGTTCAACAACCTACATCTCTTAAATGTATCATAGCTTATAAAAAACTAAATTTCACTCAATGTGGCCGAGCACTAACTGCTCAATAGCTGCTGTAACCTCATGCACTCACTTGATTTCGTTGGCCATGTCGTCCTCACTGTCTCGCCGCCTCCTCACCAGGAAAACGAGGCAGATGAGGAGGAGCAAGATGAAGGCGGCCACTGAGCCCACGGTGGCGCCAACGATCATTCCCACATTGGTGGCTGTTGTCAGAAAGCACACAATGATCACGTTTCGCCAAAGCACATACATTTACGTAACATTCAAACTGTATTGTTCTTGTGAAGGGTAAACAACGGGTAAAGGAAAGGTCAGATTCCAACTTTGGTCATTTCCTGTTTTTATGAACACGATGGTTGCTGGTTTCGCCGTGTGGTACGTACATGACACAATCTCCAGGTTGATGAAGCAGGTCTCGGAGCCGGCTGGGTTACTGGCTGTGCACACGTACTTCCCCGACATGTTACTGCTCAGGTTGCTCAGCTTCAGAGTGCCGATCTTCTCATCTACAACAGCGTTGGACATGGAGGACGTCAAGCATGAACACAGACAATTTGACCGACAGGTTTAAATACACACACACACACACACACACACACAGGCAGTCCAGGTAATATTTAATCAGTCTCATATAACTGGCAGCTCTTTCATGCAGATGCATCCGTTGACAAATTAGAAATTTGGACATAGCACATACTTGTTTAAAATAGTTTACAGAACGATACTCCACATTCAAACTGATGTTTAGTTTTAGTGTTGTTATGACATCATCAACTGTATCAGCATGATCACTGAGACTCTTTGAATTCTCTGTTGGGGTAGATGCTGTCTTCGTTTCTCATTCTCTAGCTTTGTAATTAACTACACAATATACTGTCATAAAGCCAGATGGAGATCTATTATACTATTTAGCAATGTGTGCATTGTGTGTGTGTACAAAATAACTCAATAACGTTTGCGTGAATTTTTAAAGTCAAAAACACATTTTCCAAAATATATCTTTTCTAGTCTAATTTACATCTTGTACTGATCAGAAAATGATTTCCCATCATATGATGTTATATGTTGAGTGACATCAATGAAGATGTTGATGTTGTGCATTGTTACATTTTATTTATTTTGGAGGTCACTCTGCATCATATGGGACTAAAGACACGACCAAAAGCTTATATAGATGAACAAATAATTATGATCATTATGATCCATCTGAAAATAACGTCATCAAGTGTACTAATAGTTTCAGTTTTATAAGCATAAGATTTGAGACATGATCTAGTTTGTCTGGATTAGCCAATCATCAAATAAAATAAAGACATCATGATGACATCGTTATGGAAATGTATTATTAGTGTATACAGTGCACATGCAGGGTACTCGTCACCCCTCTGATGCTTTTTATTTGAAATGAATCATTGTGGAGAAACACAAGAACATCCATAAACCGTCTGCTTCTGATCAGGCTCCACTCACTGAGCATGGGTGAAAAGAAGACCTCAGAGGTGGGACTGGTTCTCTTCCACTTGTACAAAGGGATAGGTTTCCCAGAACTGGACTTGCAGCTCAGAGTCACGTTTCCTTTCAGCACTGGCTTCCCTGATAGAGAGCACTTAGGAACAGCAGGAGGGACTGAGGGGAGACGACAGGATTGTTAGATTGTGCATCGTACTTTATGTGAGTCAGTTAAACAGAATCTATATCTCACCCTTCACATCCAGGCTGAGCTCTCTGGTGAGGCCCTCATTAGGCAGGATGACCTGGCAGAGGTAGCGTCCTGAGTCGGACTCCTGGGTGTTGTTGATGTACAGGGACACGTCCCGCGAGGGCATGTCACTGAAGAAACCAACGCGGCCCTTAAACTGGGAGCTCCCAAAAATCATTGAGCCTTTGGTGTAGGAGATGATCTGGACAAGAGAGCAGGTCGCTGGTGTCAAATGTAAAGACATAAACGTAGCTTCTGAGCAGAGGTCAGTGTGGTCATATGGTGGAGGAATAATTGGAGAAGTAGTTCCCAACTGGGACAATTCAGTTGTCGATGTCATCTCTTATAAACCAATGAAAATATTCTCACACTCAACTTTTAGCAATGTGCAGCATCCATGTTTTTTTTCCATATTAAAACTTGGGGAAAGGACTTGGGAAATGAGACCTTTGAATTTATCACGTACCAGTGCCAACAGAGGAACTGCTTTCATTAAGAGTCAAGTCAATGTGATTGAGTTTGCTGGTTTATCCTGGGTCCAAGGTTCAAATAATATATGGGGATTTTAAATCTCAACACCTCTAGTCTGATAAAATTGTGATTGGTATTTGGTGGGATGCATGACGGAGTAAACTGAGAAACATGCAAAATCGGTTTTACTCTTTTCACAGAATCAATTTGATTATTGTGACAAATCACAAGGCATTAAACAGTCACTAACAATATAGAGAGAATTCAGTCTTCAGATTAAGTTTATTATATTTCTTAAAGAGTATTTCAAATGATACGTCCGGCAATATTCAGTATTTTCATTATAACCAACAAATCCTATGAAAAGACCTGAACCTTATTGTCAGTGTATTCTGAGCCTGATGTATAATCTGCCTCTGAGCCAATGGAGTTCCATTGTTGTCCAAGCACTATTAAAATCCCCTTACTGATGAAGAGGGGGACATGTTCCTTCATCACCATGACGACACACACTGGCTTATTTTGACTCAGTATCACATATCCTGCTGCCCCTAATATGTGGATTAATCCACAGCTAAAAATAGTCCCAAACAAAAGCAGTATTTTATATATGTTTTCCAAGTGTCCCTTTGTCTTTGTCTCCATATTACTGTAAATTGTAGAGCAGAACACACATTTTTATTTGCTAGTCCATGTGTGAGTGATGGTTTCCTCTCATGCTGCTGAACTGAGTAGCAAACTGATCTGGCTGTACTCTCTGCAGAGATCGTGGCAGAGCTTTGAAGGTTTTTTTCTTTTCTTTATCTTTTTGGATACAGATAAAGGTAAAGCAGAGAGACACTGGATGTCTGTCCAGACGTTTAAAAAAACTCAACGGTGTCTTTTCAAGCTCTCGGAGTTCTGTTTCCCCTGCTTTCTGTTTGATTGTGATCCTCTTTTAGGTCGTCCATCTGCACAGCCCAATAATCTGACTTGACCCGACAGATATGTAAGCTGAGCCACAGCCTGGTCCCAAGATAACATGTTAAAATAAAACAATGTGAGGAGGGGGCTGATCAGCTGGGCTCTTGATGTGAAAACCCTCTGCTTCCTGATACAAAGACACCCAGATACAGTATGGTGCATTAAAGCAGTAAAGAAAGAGTACAGTGTTTGTATGGATTAATTTCCAAGGGTTTACAAAAGAAAGAGCTTTGCCAGATTAACAGTATAAGAACAAGCAAAAATCCTTCATAACTGTAATCCCAGATATCATAGCCACAGATGGCAAAGTATAAAGATTTCATTGCGGGCCTGTATGCAGTATACTGCATGTGCTGTGTGTAACACTTCATTATGTTCTACATATGAGTGGTTCTCTAGCGTCTCCTCATTCATTTTCTTACCAACTGGCTGTTGTTGGAGACAAAGTTCCACAGGACGGTGTTGGTGCCCAGGTCAGTGCCCGGCGTGGAGGTGTACGAGGCCCTCAGCACCACCATCTGACCCTTGATCACATCCATACTGGTTTGGGGCATCTGGAGCTCGGCTAACACGCCTGAGAGAGTAAGACAGAGAAAAGAAGACTGTCAGTCTGAGCCTTCTGCAAACCTACTGTCAATACTGGCTAAACTGTTAGGAATCCAGATTCATAACTAAGATTAGTATTATCTCATAATATGTCATTTCCATTCAGTTGTGGCTTTCACTAAAGCAATATGCTGTCATTTAAAAAAGATCCGAACCACACCTGTTAAAAATAAGATAATATTTATTCCCAATTTCTTTCAACAAAGACCAACAAACAACTGTGGTGAGGAGCTCCGACAACATCATCTATATCCAAACAGAATCCCTAACTTCCCTCTAGAAATATATATTACAGAAAAATGTATGAAAGTTTTTATAGAAAAAAAAAAGCTAGAAATGATTCAAAGCCCATTTATCCTTATAAAACTCTGGGCTGAAGCTGTTCCTACCAACCATATGATATATCCACGGAGCCGAGCACTTGAAGATTTTCGGCAGGTTAAATCTTCATTGATCTGCAGTAAACGATTTCTGAGACGATGTTTTTCATCAAAGAAACCGACCAGCTGAGCACTGACACAACCTTAGTGTCTGATGAGCTACTCTGGTGAATCTCTCAGCCGTCCCTTTTTTTTTTTTACATTCACTTATAATCTTCAAAATAAATACACATAGTTTTCTGTTTACCGACTGCAGCTTTCAGTTTTTTTCATCTCTGAAGGATTTAATCAGAGGGAATTATATGTGACGTTGATCTGTGACGTTGATCTGTGACGTTGATATGTGACGTTGATCTGTGACGTTGATCTGTGACGTTATTAGAGCAAAAGGATAAAAAAAAGGTTAAATTCACAGTTCATGTGAAAATGTAAATGTCTATGCTGGTGCTGCTATTAGCTGATAGACTGAAAGACCAGGTGTTGTACAGGTATCTCCCTCTGGATAAAATGTTCTTATGTGATTGTTTCATCTTATTGGGAAGTTTAAAAAAAAGTATCTCTATTTATTATGAATGTTTAGTTGATTCATTATCTCAGTTTAAAGGTAAACATTAATACAAGATGAATATAATAATAAGCAAAGAATAATCTGCTTGAGGCTGTAAAGTAGCAAAGTGAACCAGCGGTCAAGAGTTGGTTTATGTGGAGTGGCCTCGTCAAGTAGCAAGTGAGTAAAATGTAGTGTGTACTTATGGCCAGAGGGAGGCAGCAAAGAGTCAAAACAGATCTGCTCACGAACACATGCCAAATCAAAAATATATTTTTAAAGTTACAGATTTATTATTTATTTATTATTATGTGAAATTAATTTGAATTGATTTGTTGTACTGTACACGTGTGATGAAAAATCACACAAAAACCGTTGTTGTGTGAAGTGACTGACTGAGCTTTATTTCTGTTTACCACAGTTAAAGGTATTAAGGGTCAAATTAATAATGAATGGGATCCAGCTGTTACCCCCAGACACACACACACACACGGTCAGAAGGATGACTTTATTTTTCCTATATCCCTTTTCCTTCTCCATCACCCTCTCATAACCTCTCTCCTGGTGTTCTCTTCCCTCTCATCTCTAAACCTGTCCACCTCTCACATTCCAACTATACTGTTGTTTTGGTGCCACAATTATCACTAACAAGGAAAGGACTCAGTGAACAGGAAGTGATGCAGTGAAATGTAAGGGCTGAGTGTTTTCTGAACTGAGGTAATGTTCTGTCCAGACTCAACATCTTCACCAGCTCCGCACCAGCTGGAGACTAAGAAGAAACGTGTGCCATGTCTCAGCACATTTCCATACTCACACTTTCTATTCTGAGGGCATAAGTGCCTTTACAACTGGCAAGTATGGCGAGATGCAATGCACTATAAATACCTGGTGCACTCAGAATGGACTGGAAGTTGTGTGTGAAACGATGGACACATTTCCCCCTTAACAGTCGCCATCTTGGCCTCAATTATAATTCGACTTATTGTCATTGCAAATATTAAATAGCCATGTTGTCATTCACTAGCTAGAAGGATGCTGGTTCGATCCCTGGCCCATCCAGTGTGATAGAAAAAAGAAGTGAGGAAAGAAACTTGTACTTTGATCGATAGGACGAGAAAAGCACTTTATAAATATAGACCATTTACCAACTGGGAGGTTCCCTGGTGCTGCTGTTCAAAGTGCCATGCTTGTTTAAAAAGATCAATGTTTAGGATTTGGTGGCATCTAGTTGTGAACTTGCAACAAACTGAATAAGCGTCCCCTCTCATCCCAAGTGTGTTGCTCAACCTACTGATGCCTTCAGGTAATGTAAAAGCATGGAGGGCCCTCTCTAGAGCCCGTGTGTGGTTTGTTGGTTCTGGCCTACTGTAGGAGCATGGCAACATGGTGGACTTAGTAGAAGATCTTAAATGCTTTGATAAAAACATAACAAAAAAATGTGTGAAATTAAATAAAAGTGAAATACAACATATGTTGTGACATGTATTCCCTTTTATACGTGCAATTAATGTTATTATCAAAACTTTGCATGCAGAAAATGTACTGAGGCTTGAGACCACTGCAGCTGCCGCAGGTTCTGACCTGACCCTTTGCTGCACGTCTTCTCCATCCTCTCTCCTCTTTCATCGATCCAAAAAAGTCCATAATGCCCAAAAATATCGGTAGGCTGTAGGATATTGAGTACAGATAGTGGCATGGTGGGATTCAATTAAAGTAGTTCCTGATACAATGAAATACTATGGGCATTTTATTTCCACATCTCATAATGATAAAAAACATTGGATAAAGATAATCAGCTTTGGAAACAAGATAAGTATTTGAAAACAATTAGTGTCCAAATATCTGGTTTTATCTGGTAGCTGTTGTTTTTAAGGAAAAGCTCTTGTGTTTTTTAGGCACAGTTGAAATTAGAATTGCAACAACAAACCACGTAAAGAGATCTCTGCAGACAGTGGAGTAGATATCAGTTTCTCTGTCACCATGGAGATGGTTGAAGCGGATAAGTGACAGTGACAAGGGAGACAGAGAACGTGGGGGATACTCCTACTTAGAGAACATTGTTTTTAATGAAGAAGCCTGCAAATGAAGTCAAGGATATGGACAGAGCTAAGGAGAGAAAGGAACATAAGTGGTGGGAGGAGAGACAGATGAAACAGGAGGAGAAAAGAAGGACAAGAGACGGCCAACAATGAGAAGAGCCATTGTGTCAATTACTCTTTAGACCCTAAGAAGATTTGCGGCAGCAGTGAGAGTCAGACCTCATGTCAGCAGAGGTGCTGACTGATGGCTGGATGCGTGGATCGGTGGATATGTAGAGATGAGAGAAAGAGGCTTAAAGATAAATGTAATGAGTCACTGAGGAGCAGTGAGCCAGGCTCCACTGAAAGCCTCAGAGAGAAGGACGGCTGACTGGATCGAGGGATCGACAATCGTCCTGATAAAGACAATTGAAACGCAACACAATGTAATTGTCAACCTGTATGCGGACTTTAGACTAATTTAGACTAAAAGTAATGCTGAGTCAGACAATGACAGGAAGTTTGACATTTTGGGACAGTATCAATTTCTTGTCAAGAATTAAAATGACCAGGTCAATACCATTCTCTTGTCAGTATGCCTCGAGCCAGATGCTGGTTTAGCACTTAAAGAGAGAATAAAGTAATATTACAAGAATAGTCGTGATACTAAAGTCACAATATTATAGTGTAATGTTGTAGTGTGTAATGTGGTGTACATTTTTTTAGGAAATAAGCAGCAAGGAGAATCTGTATGTGCTTACTAGAGTTTCACTCCTGGATTCAGGATCTTGTACAATCTCATTGTAAAAAAAGGAAACCATTTGAATATCACGCAGGTAAACCACCCATTGTTTCATAGTTTTAAACATTGTGATGACAACAGTGATTTTACTTTAATCCTGAGTAGTTCTTTCTTCAAAATAGTCAAACGTTTAATACAATCTCTTTAAGTCCTGATAATTATGATAATGTGGTGCTGATGTGACAATAGATTATTAACTATTAACTTATTTTTTAAACTTACACTAAATTTAACAAGATGCTCCACATTCCTCATTTTAACACAGGCAACAAACTGATCTTCTGATATTCCCCTTGTAAAATGACATCTAGCTGAAAATCATGACTTTATTTTCGTAAAATGATGTCCTTATTCTTGTTATATTACAACTTTATTCCAAATGCCTTTTGAAATTTCTTCAACATGGCCCTAATGACGCGTTGTATAAAAAAAGTCTCCTGACTGTCATGTTATATTTAGCAGGTGCATTTGCTTTTGGTGAGTAGAGCTTTCTCGCTCACTATTGTGGATTTCCTTCTCACACAGCACGTCATGACCTGCAGTGTGCACACACAACTTCCCACCAGGCACCAACATCTCACTGGAGAAAATAGGCCAAATCTTCAGCAACTCATTAGTGAAGATGGGCTGCTCTTCATGATTCAGCCTGATCAGATGGGCATATTTTCCCCCATGAAAATCTTGCCAAGTGCTGCTTTAAGAAGATTTCCTGACAGAAATCCTCCCTGGTTCTGATGAGAGTGCACCACAGCTGAGGAAAAGATGAATGAATGTTTGCAGAGGTGGAAAACAGAGGGATGAATAGAGAAAAGAACAAAGCCATGGGGATCCCATTCATAACATTCACTCTTAATTTGGTCAGTGAGGCTTAATCTTCCCCTCTGTGGCAGGTCTGAAATCCAGTGTGCAGGCTCCAGGACGATTGGCTTTAAATATTCCATGGTGACTGATGGCGAGGCAGATGGGAGCGAGTTCTCTCAGTATAAAAACAATGAAGGGAGTAATGAGGTCTGGATGATGCTCACTGGAGGTAACGGAGGAATTTCACTAAGTCTGATTTAACAAGGTGTTTCATGGTTAGGTGGGTTCTATCTTTGTAGGAGCACTTATAACAGGATTTGTAAGAAACATCAGAGCAGGATTAAGAAAAACCTTGATTTGGATTACCTTGATTATGACCGTATGAATAAAACATGTAAAACAACAGGGAGAAAGTTGGGA